TATGGCAGCTGTTGGTGAAATAAGGCAGTGAATATACAGTATATACTTCTCTTTATAAATTCTTTGTGTAAAAGTGTGGTGTTTCTTAACCACAGTAAACTAAGCAAAGCAACTGAGCAGCTATCTGAAATGTGTCTTAGTTTGCTCTATGCGGTGTTTGTGTCCTGACGGCCAGGAGAGAGCAGACGGAAGATCCGGGACATTGTTTGGGCCTGTATTCATTTACTGGAACTCTTGGCTATTCTCGTATGTTCAAACGCAGGAAAGTAAAGACAGACAGACAGGCAACTTCCTGTGAGGAAAACCAGAACCTCTCCATGCTCTCTCTTTCTTCTCTCGTCTGGTCCTGTCATTTGGCTTCATTTATGTAAAATGATGCAAATGTCTGTTTTGGTCGCGAGTAGGAGTTTCTTGAAGAGCTGTACAATATGGATTTACAAGCATTTTTACAATGTTTTATTGTAATTCAAAGTTTTAAGTTGTAAAAACGAAACCATATAAGTTTAAGTGGTTAATATATCAGACGTAAAACTACAGACATCATCTGTAACTTGCTGTAGATGACCGCTGAAAAAAAATTATGATTTAGTCTGCAAAAGCAAACAAAAATGCATTCATATAGACTTCATCTATAAGCCTCTTCCACAACCTTAAACCAATGCTTTCTCATAAACCTGGTATTGCATACTACAAATTATTGTTGGCTGTGTTACGTACCTCTATAAAAGCATCTGTTACATGCATAAATGTAAATGAATGAGTTTATCATCACAGATTGTTTCTTCCATGATGGAAAATATTTCAAATCGCATTCATTGCGTGGCTATTTTGCTCATGTATGTCAGTAGGCTTGACTTCAACTTAAACTGATGTGACATTCTGTTTTCCATTGCATCATATCTGCTGAATAAAATCCAATATGTGTTTCCTACTGATTTGGGGGTGCCGATTCCAAAAATACTGCCTGTTTTGCTCTAGTGTGTCATATTTTCCAACAAAATTGTAACATTTTTGGATTTGACTACCATTTGTAAGGTGAAGAAGTCTCATATAATCCCTTAATCACCAGAACTAAATGACATTCCTATCTTCCTCTGAGCCAGATTACAACTATTTGTTCAATTCTCAGCAGATTTTCACATGTATGAATGATTTTGAAGTTTATGGTAAATCCAGATTTCCTAAAACTTTTGACATTTGACTGATTTTGTTCATTTTATAAGCGCATTAAAGCTGAAAACATGATGTACATAAAGGTTTGTATTGCTTTGCCCAGCATCATCAAAACAGGTAATATTATTTTTGCAAATCAGCAGATTTTGCTGTGTTCTATGCACAATATAACAATTTAAAACCAGACTTAAAGTATGCACTCATTTATGACTAACATGCTTGCGGTTACCAGCGGCTGATTATTAATTAAAGTGATTCAATATGTCTATAACTAAACCACACTCATAATGTAAATAAGTCAGTGAATACTTTTACTTATTGAAAACATAACTTATTGAACTACGTGCACACATCTCAACATCATCAGCAAGAGTGATGTGAAACCGAGACGCACTGCTGCAGAAATACATTTGGATCTGGATCTGGATCTGGATTCTAATTCTGTGTCTAACCTCAGTTCTAGTTCCAGTTCAGTCTCTGGTTCTGATTCTAATTCTGTCTGTGCTGTGAAAGACACCTACGCTCCTGAGGACCGCATGCATGGCATTCCTCTCCTCCGCGTGCTCACTTTGCAGATCTGCAGGGATGAGAGTCAACAGCGAGTCCCAAAGAGCCTTTCCCAAAACTCCCGTCTCATTCCGTGCCCACAGCTCGTTCCACTAACCCACATTACGAAGAAACCTACAGATCACCCGGGTTACCAACACAGCCAACGCGCTCCATTAATACCTGAGATCCACTGTTTATCACGCATGCATATGCAAACGCTTCTATAAAGATGAACAGAACACGTTAGGCAAAACAAACCAATCTCAAGTGCTGGTTGCATGCGAGTATATATGAGTATAGCCTATCAAACGCACAGGAGCGCACAGCTCCGTTACGCGCTCCGGCGCACTGAAAAACAACATTCCTACAAATGTGCCACATTGAATACTGCAGTTTGGATTCAGATTAAACACCCTCATCATTCTCTTACCGTAAAGTCCGACACGAAGGCAGTTTTTTCAAGCGCACGGATGATTATGATCCGGTAGTCGGGAGCGCAGAACGCGCCGGGCGGCTGGTGAAAGCTGACCGCTGCTGGAGGAGGTGGAAACTGGAGGATTTGTGTTGATCTGCAGATTTCCTCCTCTGTCAGGGGCTCACCCGCTTCTCCGGCGTTTTCCGTGTGTTCAGAGCCGCCTGGCGACCATTTCTGAAACTAGACGAACAAGTGAGTGCGTGTCCAAAGCACAGCCTAAGCCTAATGTAGTTTTTTTTTTATGACAGATACAGTGTTCTTCCTCCAGGGGCCCGCAGTGGCTCAAAATGCTGGATTATTTCATTGAAATCCATTAAAATCATAGGAATGTTTTATTTATTGAAGATATTTACAAAAAAATGTGATGTAGCTATGGTTCTAGTTCTGTCGGTCTCCAGGTCTGGATGTAATACTGTCTCCAAAAAATTGGTTAGTTCGGTAAAACGCTTTGCGTGTGAAATTTTTTATTTATTTATATATGGATTAATTATTATTTGAGTTCCGCCTCTAACTCTGATTCTTTTTTAGTTCTGTCTCTAGCTTTGTTGACTTTAGTTCTCAAGGTCTGCTGATTCTCCAACTTTTAGCTACTAATACGCTCTAGTTCTAGTTTTAGTTCTTTGATATTAATTTATGCTCTAGTTCTGTCGTTGTGTTTCATTTACTTCGAAGGATCTGTATTCGATAAACAAACTGGAAACCGAAACACCTCATCCAGTAATAATCACAAACGCCTGTGATTGGTCCATCCTGAGTAGCGCAAAGAAAATTAACAGGCGCCACGTTTTGTCTTGGAAAGTTTTTCATTCATAAATGTAGATGGTTTAAATCTAAACCCAACTTTAACCAGTGGATGAATGAGGTTAAAATTTTGTACAAATCTTTAGAACTGGTTAAAAACAAGAAAGCTCTCAAATTGATTTCGTTTTTGGGGCATGTATAAATTAATGTAAAAAGCCCCTTTTGGTTTGTTTGTTTTATTTGTTCTATTTATTTATTTATTTTATTTTGTTTTCTTCTTTATTATTGGTTTATTGTGATCTTGTTTATCACTGGTTATGCTCAACCTAAGGCTGTTCACGTGTTGTTAGATTATGTGATGTGTTTATGTACCTTGTTTGTTTGTTGTAAATGGAAGCATAATAAAAAAAATAAATCAAATTTTAAAAACCTGTGCCACGTGATCAGGTCTGAACAATAATTTACACTTGAGTAATTACACTAAAAAAAATGTATTATTTAATTTAAACTAATTATTGATGAGTAGAATGAACATAAATAATATAATTATTATTTAAACCCATAAGCCCCGCCCATTTTACACACACTCTTTCATGCTATGTATCATTCTACACTTTGATTCTGTTTTTTTTTTTTTAGTTTTACAGCATCTCTTCAGCACAGAAGTTTTAAAGAATATGTTTTATCACCATTAAATCATTATTATCAGCACCAATACAAACTGAAAAAAGAAAAACGACTATGTATTTAAAATAATAAAGTGGAGATAATTAAGTAAAAAAATAAAAGTTATTAAATATATAAATCAGTTTAATGGTTAATCTAATCTAAGATTAATTTTTACTTTTTGACGTCATTTTTTACATCAGTATACAGTAGTAACGTCACAATGCTGTTCTCTCAGATTGAATAAAATAAAAGAGGCGCCATCTGCTGGTTAAAATCCTTGGTTAGCCCTTTTTTAATTCATTTCTACATTTTTATTTTAGTTTTGTATTGTTCTGGTAGGCTATATCTGTAAAGCACACACATTCTGATCCTATTATCTCTGTTTGTTTATTTGTGGGTGTGTTGTAATATCCATGGTGATATGGTATCACTGCAAAATGGACTTTGGACATCTTTTAAAGCATCACACTAAAAATAAATATAGCATTCAGGAAATACACAACATTTATGTAATATAAACATGTTTTCTGACCTATGATGAGTTTTTGATGTCTACGTAACTAATATAGATAGGCTTATTCTTTTAAATGTTTAAAGTTATCTAATGAGCTAAATGCAACATATTTTTTTTTATTTAATCTGCCTTTTTCCTTTTGCATTCTTTTGAAATGTCTTTTTATTTTCATCACTACAAAGCTATCAACCTACAAAATCATCTTTAAATAAAGTTTGAAACCAATTTAAAATGTATATTAATTTGAAAAGAATGAAGAATATCTCTTATGAACATTGCTGCTATTTTCATATTAATTATGCCCGTAAGGATCATAAATGTTATGCCCAAGGCCATAATCCACGTGCCCTATGGTAAAATTATAAGGGCTTGGGAAATGGCTCCTGTAACACCAGTCCTGGTTACACCTCAGCAGTAAAGCAGGACTTCTGTCCCGTCAGAGGATGATTTATTGATCTTCTCTTTCTGATCAAACCCACGTCACTCTCTTTATGATGTTGTGCGCTCCAATATAAATGCCATGACCACAAGAGCAGCTGTCTGTGACTGTACAGACGATTACTTTATGACTTGATTGCCCTCCTGGTGATGAGTTTCATTATGAGCTTATCTGCAATCAGCTTTCCCCAGCCAAGACCAAGCCTTTGCCATTGCAGGGAAACACCAGGTACTGCGTTCAGATCAGTGACAAAGTACAACCTATACAACACCATTTATTACCCCAGCAGCCACCAACTCCTCACTTCCTCCCAAGATCTCCCATTTTAAGATCTCCCATCTTCCAGTCACAAAGCGACAGGAATCAACCGGTCTGTTTGACAAGCTTAAAAACTTCTCAGCCGAGGACCTAGAAAAAAAGACCACCGTTCCAAAGAAACCATGCCGTCCTCAAAGAAACTAGCGCATTTCTTGTCAAGTGCTGCTTTATGTGCTGCTGGAGTGGCTGTATTGGGTTTCGGGATGTCGACGAACTGGGCCCAAGCTGCCATGGACTGCGCTCCGATCGACAGTGAAGAGTTCAGTGGATCCTCCAGTCTCCAAATTGGGCTTTTCAATGGCACAGAGACCAAAATCGCCTGCCCTAGGATTGACAAACTTGGAGTTAACGTGCCTGGTGAGTTTCAAATAAGGGTTCAATTAATTTTCTACATGCTAGATTATGCAATTTTACATTTTCAAGTGTAAACATATCATAATATTACAAATTAAGTAATATATATAAATATATATTGTTCACTCTTAGGAAACAATAAGGTACAAAAGCTGTCACTGGGATGATACCTTTTCGAAAAGTACAAAAATGTACAGTACCATTAAGGTACAAAAATTTACCTTTAAGGTAATGTAAATTGACCTCACCATACCTTTAAATGTACCGCCCCAGTGACAGCTTTTGTGCCTTTTTTTCTGAGTGTTCAAAATGAAGATAAAAAGTATTGTGTCACAATGTGGTTGAGAAATGTGAGTGGAAAGTGATTCTCTACACCTGTGTAAACTATAGGAAAACAGACTTTATACAGCCACTAAAAATGACCTAAAAACACCAGCTGATTAACAGACATTGAGCAAAATGATGGTGAAAAGTTGTGAGAAAAGATTCTGCAGCATCTGAGTACAGATGCCATCTGTTTCGATATTTTGTAATCTAAACACAATCATATGTTTTTAAATGAGGCACAAGTGTCCAAATACCGTTTGGGGCTACTAAATATGATATTTGTGATGGGGGCGACGAGACGAGAGGCATGCGGATCCATATGCAAGGCTTTATTAAGAGACGTGGTCATAACAGGCATGGGTCAGACAATGGCAAACAGGTATATTGAGGGCAAGACAGAAGAGTAATCCAAAACGGGCGTGGTCGATCAGCGGCTAACAATATCCAGAGGGCTTGACAAGAGGGGTAATCCGACAACATGAGCAATAGTCCAGGCAAGGTGCAAACATAGTCCGAATGGCAAGACGAAAGGATAATACAAAATACACAGGCAAGAATCTGAACACGGGAAAGCAGGCAGGGCAAGACTATGACTTGGATCTAAGAAATAAAAATGGCTTCGTAGAGTAGCTATCGCTATGAGTGATAAACGCTATACAATACTCGGTGTTGAATGGTGGTGTGAGACTGATTTATATAGTGTGTGTTATTGGTAGCAGCTATGTGAGATTGGTTTCAGGTGAGCTTGTGATTAGTGCAATGGAGCATGGGAAATGTAGTCCAGGGTGATGTGTAACAGTCTGTGTGGTGTGATAGTCAATATAATGGGAGGGCGACCTCTGGTGGGAACTGGATTGGCAGTGACAGGCTTAACAGGGCAGACATGGTGTGCGTTCTTAGTTTCAGGGCTCATGACAGGCAGGGTTAAGAGTACAGAGGTGGGTTCTTGGGCTGTGACAGACAGGGCTGAAAGTTCCGTGTTGGTCTCCTTGAGAGTGGCTGGGCAGACAGACCGTTCAAGATTGGGTGCATTAACAAAGACTGGCTGG